GTCAAGGGGGGAAAGAAGATAAGGGGCATATGGGGGAGCGAAGGGGCCTCGGGCACCTCAGCTATGCAGGGAGGTGGCAACACTCCATCCAAACCACAACTCAGCAACACTAAAACACGAGGTCCAGACCAGTCCACAGAACTGAAGTGCCAGCAAGGCGGGAAACTCAGGTGTGGGAGGCTGGACCCGGGGGAGGGACTGGTGCTACTTCTAAGTCTAAATGCAACTCCCCATAAATCAAGCGGGAGGCCGGGAATCTACTGACTGCTTTTATGTTCAAATTAAATAACATTTGACGGGGCTGGGGCGATAGCACAGCAGTAGGGCGTTTGCCTTGCAGGCTGCCGACATAAGTTCAATTCCCAGCATTTCGTATTACTCCGGCCAGGAGTAATTCCTGAGTGCATGAACCAGAAGTAACCCTTGTGCATGTGCATCACCGGCTGTGACCCAAAAAGAAAAGAAAGAAAAAAAAAACACACATTTGAGCAACAATCTACAGCAAAGAGGGCCTTCATTTATGTATTGAGCAAATATATAACTGAGTTTTCGTTTTTGATTTTTTGGAGGTGGGGGATTTGAGCCACATCAAACACAATAGTGCTAGAGGGGTACTCCCAGATCAGTGCTCAGGAAACAGTTGGTATCAGGGACGGAACCTGCCAGGCAAGGCACACAGCTACTACAGCCGGCTGTTGGAACCATCTCCCTGGCCATGTAGTGAGAAGCCTATTACACTATGAGCATAAGAATTTCACAATATTTCTGAAAAGCAACAAACGCAGCTCACTTAAGGGAACAGATACTGATCCTATGGAAATTGCCCTAGTTGGGTCTATAAGACATTCAAGAACCTCCTGAAGTTGTAGTGTATATATACACTATGGAACACTACTCAGTACAAGAAATTACCAATTCTTGCCTTCCACTACACTCAAAGCAGAGCCGCGGGAGACAGTGGCAGAAGGACAAATACCAGGTCTCATTTATATGTGGGACATGAAGACAAAATGAAACAAAGCAGCCCATGGCAACAACTTCCTTGGAATCTGAACATAGAACAAAGGTGATGTGGTGAGCAGGTTTGGGAGGAAAATGGGGACCAGAAGTGATACGAAAACAGTGGCGGGAGGGGGGGGTGTACTTTGGGGATGGTGTGGGGATGGTACTTTGGTGATTGTGTAATATTGTGTGTACCGCATGATAATAAATACTAATACGGGCTGGAGAGGTAGTAGGTAAGTAGGTAGGTGGAGCTCATGCAGGTAGGGAATGAGCCTTGCAAGCGGCCAACCCAAGTTCCATTCCCGGTACCCTATATTGTCACCCAAGCACTGCCAGAAGTGATTTCTGAGCTCAGCGCCAGGAGTAAGCCCTGAGCACTGAGGGTGGCTCAAAATCAACAACAACAACAAATTATAAATATACTAATGTAGCCGTGTTACTTCAACTACAACTTAAAAACCTTTTTATAATCTCCCTAGAATATAGGTTGTGTGACAAATAAAACCCAAAATAACTCATCACTCCATCTAGGGGATGTCTCACATTTATTTCAAACTTTACTACTTACAAATCACTGACAAGGATATCACATTGTACTAAATAGATCAAAAAAGGAGGGGAGGGGTATTTACATTATCTATAAAGATAGCAGAACATGCACCTTCCCCCTGGGTAGAGCCATGTGAAGACAGGGTGCAGGAACAGGAAAGGGGCCCCTCAGTCAGGGCCTCGCTGCTGTCTGTGCTCTAAGAACATCCTGAATGCCTACCCAGCGAGTGAGGCCAAACTCCCAAAGTCCAAATACCTGATCTTTGGCTTTCCTTGGTTCTTAAATAGTTGTATTCAGGGCATCTTTATAAACAATTCACACTCCCCTCCCCCCGTATGTTCTGCCACAAGGTCAATTCTTTTACTCAAAAAATAAGAAATGCCCAAACCTCCAGCTTCTGAAAATAACATCTGGTGTGTGACATAACCAAAAGCCGGGGGAAAGACCTAGTTTTTATTTTAAACTTTTTCATTTAAAAAACTAGAACGCCTTCAAAGGATAAGACATAAATCAGCTTTCTACCTGATTAGGCGCTTACTATTTTCAACATTCATCCTAAACCACAACATAGTTTATCCGAACTATAAATTGTGAGTCGCCACAAAGATGTACAGGCCTTTAAGGCCTTAAAGCCTGAAGACTTTCTCATAACATCAGGTGTCCTAACCAGTTCCTGTCGTCACATACTAGTGGGTCCTCAAAGGGTGGTGCTGAGTCCCTGAGAGTTGCCAAAATTCTTTTGGGGGCGCATAAGATCAAGCTATGTTCCTCACAAATAACAGCAGTATGTTACTTTCACTGTGTCTCATTCTCTCAAAGGAGTACGCAGCAGTTTTCCAGAGGCTACACAATGTGTGATATCTCAAGAGAGTAAGGACAAAAGCAGCTATGAAACCCCAGCTGTCTTCTATTAAGCCAGACAAAGAACTGCGAGAGACGGAATAATACTCCTCTTACAAATTTTTGATTTGAAATGTTAAGTTATTTTATAGAAACTATTATTTATGTTTATAAGAGACACATCATTTATAAACTGTTTCATAAACACATTTTAATTTCTGTTTAAACCTAGGGTATAGCAATTATGAATAGTATACCATACAAATGGCTTTTCCAGATTTTTTTTTTGGAGGGGCAATTTACACCTGGTCATGCCCAGGGTTTAGCCTTGCTCTCTGCTTAGAAATCACCCAGAGAGTGGCTCAAGGGACCATTTTTAAGAGTGTTCAGGGTTCCTGGGAACAAAATGTTTGAGAAATGCCATAGTACACAAATACACAACCTAATGATATATAATGCTTTCCACAGATAAGACACGTAAGTCAATTCTAAAGTATACCCATACACATTCCCTAACCCTGCTGAGTTAATACATCACCTTCTAAAGAATAGTTTTGTCTAAAGCCTCTATGTAAGGGCCTTTGGACATTTAAGGGCCAGAAATGGCACCCTGACCTGTAATACCACCTAATGCTTGGTCGTGTATAGGGGTTTCTTGGTCTTTTCACCAAAATTGCCCTGTCATCCAAATAGCAACCTATGAGAATGATGACATAATGAAATGATGCTCTCAGGACTGACAACCCCTCATCCAAGAGTGCCTGCTAGCTGGCAATACCTAGGAAGCTGGGGTTTTGCAATCTGGTTGGCTGCCCTCGGCTGTCTCTCGCTATGGTATAATTGCAAACTCACAAAGAAAACTAGGCAAGAGCATTACCTTAACCGTATCAGTGCCAAAACCGGGATTTTTTTTTTCACTCCTAATAAGAATGTAATCAGACCCACTACCCCAGTCGTGAAATTATTCGCTCTGGATACCCTTTTGGTTCCTGACCCAGAAAGACAAAACAAAACAAAAAAAATCTAGAAACAATTAAAAATTCAAGTGTGTTGGAGAATCCCAAAATACAGAACACCACAGCACCACAAGATTATCACCTGTTTAAGAACTAGCAGAGACTCATCCAATCATTCAAATGAGAGACAGGCAAGAACAAGATCAAGCACAATACAGTAACACTAGATTCTACCAACGAACGGATGCCAACAGATTAACACGGGGGGTGGGGGGGGGGCTCAAAAAAGAGGCGCAAATGCACAGAATGTGGACAGAAGGGAAAAACCTACAGAAGTTGCGAAACTGGCTTCAATGGTTCTACAAATCCAACCACAGGATTAGAACCACCCTCAAACCGGCCAGGCAGAGCATCAGAGGCAAACGCTGCTGCAAGCTGAAAGATGGCATTCTAGTCCTACGGCAACACAGAGACACACAGGCACACACACAGACACAGAGACACACAGACACACACACACACACACACGACGGCCCCTCCCCCAGGACCCGACCAGTCGGTTCCCTTTTAAAGGAGGTCTGCAAGAAATGCACGATTTGCTGCGTCTCTTCCCCAGCTACCGGGACACCCCGACCGACCGACAGACCCGCGGACGGACAAACGGCCGCCTCTCTCCCTGCGTGGCTGCAACCCAACTTCAGCACGATTTTACCCCGAGACAGGCAGAAGCGCGCTAACCGGCCGGCGTGTGTCCTTGTGATTCACTACACACGCGCAAGAATCTTTTTCTCGTGCTGAGATTTTGTTTTTTCCTGGTTCAAGCTCTCGGGGACGGCGGTGGGCGCCTAAATGCAGGCCGGAGCCGGAGCGCTCTGATCGATAACGAGGGTGACGCGCGGCGACCAGCCTGCAAGGCAACGGGCGGCACCTACGTGCGTCCCACCGCCAGCACTCCCGGGGCGAGGCGGACTTGGGCAAGTTTCTGCGCCCCGACAAAAGGAACGCAGCCCGCGCCGCGAAACCGGCCGGCCGGCTGGTCCTGCGGGCTCGGGAGGGTCGGGCGCCCGGCTCACAAAGGCGCCCGGCTCGCAGCCGCGGGGAAGCTGTCAGAGCGCGCGGCGCCCCCGACCTTCCGGCGCGGGCCGGGCCGCGACCCTCCCCCGAGAGGCACCGACAGGCCGGCCCGGCACCGTCGGGTCCAGCGCCCCGAGCATCGATCACCCGGCCGGCAGACAAAGGCCGGGGCGGCAGGCCCGAGCAGGAAGTCGGCGCGCGCGAGCCGGCGCGGCCGCACCGACCGACGCGGGGGCCGAGGCCGGGGCCGTGGGCTGCCCCGACCCCGCGAGCCCCGGGACCGGGCGCCCGCCGGCCGCGGAGCGAGCCCGGGCCGCGCGCGCCCACCTCCCGCGCCCGGCGCGGCGCGGCTCGGCGGGCTCCGGGCGGCCCCGGCACGTGCGGCCCCGCCGAGGGCTCCGGGCCCGCCGCGCCCGCCCGCGCCCCACGCGCTCAGGCCTCGGCGCAGGCCGGGCCGTCGGGCCGCGGAGACAAAGGAGCCGCCGCGCCCGCCGCCGCCGCCACCCGCACGCCCGCGCCCCCGACGGCAGGCCCGGGCCGAGCCGCGGCCTCGGGTGCGCGCGGGGCCGACTCACCGCTGCAGCACCAGGACGAAGGGGAGCCGTTGGGGAACTTGGCCGAGTCGGGCGCGATGCAGACGCTGGCGCTGAGGTGCGGACACTCCATGGCCGCGGGGACGGCGCCGGCGGGGGCCGGGGCTCGAGCGGACCGACTCCCGGGGCCCCGTCCAAGCGCTCGGCCGACGGCGGCTCGTCCGCGCTCTGCGTCAAAGAGAGCGAGAGGCTTCCGGGCGCCGGGTCTTCGCAGCCGCCGAGCCCGCAACCCCGCTCCGCGCAGCGCAGACTCCGCGATCCCGGTGCTGCCGCCTACCGAGCGCGGCTTCCGCCTTCCCCGAGCGCCCCGCCCCGCCCCGCCGGGCAGGCCCCGCCCCCCGGCCCTCCCGAGGCGCAGGCTCCCAGCCCCGCGGCTTCCGCCTTCCCGGCGCGCCCAGCCCCCGGTTAGGCCCCGCCCCTCCCGATTAGGCCCCGCCCTGTCAAACAGGACACGCCCATAGCGCAGGCCCCGCCCCCAGGCTCTTCCGAGGAGCAGGCTCACAGCCCCGCGGCTTCCGCCTTCCCGGCGCGCCCCGCCCCGTCCTGTAGGCCACGCCCTGCCCAATAGGCCACGCCCACGGTGCAGGCCCCGCTCCCAGGCCCTCCCGAGGCACAGCCTCCGCAAAGCCGCGGCTTCTGCCTTACCGGCGCGCCCCGCCCACCCGATAGGCCCCGCCCCGCTTGATTAGGCCCCCCCGCTCTCCAAATAGGCCACGCCCACCATTCAGGCCCCGCCCCCGGGCGCTCAGGAGGCGCAGGCTCCGCAGCGCCGGAGCTTTCGCCTTCCCTGCGCGCCCCGCCCATCCGGTAGGCCCCGCCCTGCCCGGTTAGGCCCCGCCCTGCCCGATAGGCCACGCCCTCAGTGGAGGCCCCGCCCCCGGGTCGTCCAGAGGCGCAGGCTCCGCAGCCCCGCTTGCTTCCGCCTTCCCGGCGCGCCCCGCCCCCCGGTAGGCTCCGCCCCTCCCGTCAGGCCCCGCCCCCGAGCCCTCTCGGGGGCAGGATCCTCCCCACCACCCGCCAGCGCTTTGCCCACCCCGACTGTCGTGGCTCGGTGGGCTCCGGGAAAGGCTGGCACAGAGGGTTGCGCGCCGTGCGGGTCGGTCGGGTTCGTCGCGGCGGGAGCAGACGGCGGTCTGACCACCTTCGATCCAGCTGCCGGACCTCTGGCCGCGCTGGACAGTGTAAAGAAGCAAACCCCGCCCGGGCACCAGCACACGGAGAAAGACAGGAGTCCAGAGAGGTTAAGGGCCTGACCTTGCGGCTCGCGGCTGCTTTGACCGGGAGCAACCCGAGTCTTGCGTTCCTGCCGCTGCAGCAGCGTGCACTGACCCGCTTCGAGGCACCCCGTCGGCCGCTGGGGGTGGCGTGGCCACCCCGGGGACGGCCAGCGTCGCCTTGGTTCAAGTACAGCTGCTCGGCGGGGGCCCGAGCGCCGCCCTGCATGTTGGGGCTGAATTGGTGGGGCTGGGACCTGAAGGAAGAGCAGTAAAAGCCCCTGGCCTTGCCCGAGAGACAGGACGCCGGGAGGGCGCTGGCCAACGCGCGACGGCCCCGGGTTCGACACGGGTGCTCCATATGGTCCCTGAATCTGCCAGGAGTCACCCCGGCACCCGTGTGGTCCCTGAGCCTGCTAGAAGTCATCCCTGGCGCCCGTGTGGTCCCTGATCCCGCCAGGATCACCCTCCCCACACTCATACGGTCCCTGAATCGTCCAGGAGTCACCCCCACCCATGTGGTCCCTGAGCCCACCAGCAGTGACCCTGTGTGGCCCCCAAACCTCCAGGACTTATGGTGCGACTTTCCTACTTGGCCCTGTGGGGTCTGAGATGCAGGTACCCGGTCACGAGGAGGGTATGATGCAGGTACCCAGTCACCAGGAAGGTGTGATGCAGGTACTCAGTCACCAGGAGGGTGTGACCCCACCGCAGGCCTGCCCACCCCAGGCACAAAGTGGCTACACAGCCACGCTCCTGCCACCCTAGGTTACTCTGGTCTTTCTTTCTTTCCCCATTTTGGGGGAAACAGTTCAGGACTCTCTTCCCCCTGTGAAAATGCAAGGGGCTGCCCCTGGCAGTGGGCTGGCTCAGCTGAGACCTTCCCCGGCAGGCCTTGAGGCTATTACATGGGGTTCCTGGGAAAACCCTGCGACAGAGCTGGGGCCAGCCAGCTGATGTGGCAATCCTGCCATCAGGGCACAAGGGGCAGGGAAGGTCAGGAAATGATTGGCCTGGCTGGGCTGCCTAGTGCTTAGAGCAGGGCCCCTCCTGCCGGCCTCCCACCCCCTACTCCTCCGTCCCAAGCTCTTGTACCCACAGGGCCTTCTGCTCACCTTCGTCACTCACGCTAACCCCCATGTCTTTGATGGATTCCTCCGTCAAAGCCCCTCGGTGCTTTCCAGGTTTCAGCTGAAGCTTAGATGGGGCCTGGGTCCAAGATTTCACCGCCTTGAGAGTTATGGGAGACACAGTTGCTCACTCCCAGCCCTGCTCACCAATGTCCCAAGCCCTGTCCTAGCAGTCCCCCCATGGGGACGAGCAGATCATTGGCACCCAGTCTTTCAGGTGCTGGGGTGACATGAAACCCCCACTCCTGCCCCACCATCTCCAGGGGACTGAGCCAGGGAAAACTTCCATGAAGGGGTTGATAAATAACCGGTCTTTTTGCTTGTTTTGTGACCGCACCAGGTGGTGCTCAGGGCTCTGTGCTCAGAGCTCACCCCTGGGGTGCCAGGGATGCAACCAGGCTCAGCTCTAGGCCAGGCAAGAGCCCTACCCGCCATACTATTGCTCAGGCCCTAACACATCTGATCTTGGTTCCGGCCTGTCTCCACCAGCTCGTTTCTCTTTGGACCCCTTGAGCCCACCTTCCCGCAGCCTTTAAGCCCAGTATGTTCCTGCAGCCATACGCTGAGTCCTGTGTTAGACCGTAGTGCTACTTACTTACCCTGTCCAACTGGGTTTCTGACTCTCGCGCCTAGAGGACGCCTCTCTTGACCCTGCTCCCCGCCCTCCTACCCAGGTTCGCCCCAGCCCTGTGAGATGTCCTTGCCTGCCCCTCCACTCTGCCCTTTTTAAACACTCTGGATGCATGTAATCATTTATTTAATGTCTGCCTTCCCCTGGAGGTCCACCAGAGTGGCAAACAAGTCTGTCTGGTTTTCTGCTCTGCTTCTAATGTAGCATGTGGCACATGAACAGTAGTTCGTGGATGAGTCAGTAGCCAACTGAGAAGACATCTGTTCCGGGGTCCCAGAGGCAGGAGCTGGAAAGGGGACACCTCTCCCACACCCCACCGCCGGTGATCTCCAAATTCCCTTCTGCTTTCTCTTCTTTTCCTGCGAATAAGACTGTGAACATACCTTGCAGAGAATCAACTGCTAAAAATGGAGGGAAAGAAAAGATACTCCTTTTGTGAGTGTGTTCTCTCCATGGCTGGAATGAGCACACCTCAGAACAAGGTCCCTAATTTAGTCATTTTGTGACTGGACAAACTAAGTATTATCATCAGGAAGCCCAGAGAGAAGCTGGACTTCAGGTCTGCATTCCTGGGCTTTCTGCTTGGTCACTCCAAAACATAGCTTTCTTTTTTTTCTTTTCTTTTTTAATTTGCTAATTTCCTTTATTTTTTATTTTTATTTTCACAAAGTTGTTCAAAATAATTGCACTGTAGCACTGTCCTCCCGTTGATCGTCGATTTGCTCGAGCGGGCCCAGTAACGTCTCCATTGTGAGACTTTGTTGTTACTGTGTTTGGCATATCGAATACGTCATGGGTAGCTTGCCAGGCTTTGCCATGCAGGCAAGATACTCTCGCTAGCTTGCCGGCTCTCCGAGAGGGGGAAGGAATCGAACTCAGGTCAGCCAGGTCGGCCGCATGCAAGGCAAACGCCCTACCTGCTGTGCTATCGATCCAGTTACTATTATTCAGTATATATTCAATATTCCAACACCAACCCCACCACCATTACATGTTTCCACCACCATGATTTTGAATTTTCCCACCACCACTCAAGCCTGACCCACAGGCAGATGCTAGATAAGATTTTGTATTGCTATGCATGAGATTTCACACAAAGCGGCTGCACACTCCTGGAATTCTAAAATTTTAAGTAATTAGGGCCCAGAGAATCTCTGCAGGGAGCTGCTCTGCTCGGTTCCGAGATTTATTTGTGAGTGTCTGGATCCTGGCCTTTAATATGCTTAAATGTCACCCAGAGGCAGTTCGTGGGCGTGACAGTCAGGACCTTGTAAGGGCGGGGAGACAGGAAGGAAGACCAATCCCCCATCCCTTGAGGACTGCTAATTCTCTTCTCTTTGAAAATGTTTTCTTAATTAGAAAAAAAAAAAAGGGGGGGGGAGTGTTGAGCCTTCCATGAATAAAACTCAGGCAGTGAAAGGGCACAGGAAAGCTGCCTTTCCAGCCCTATATTTCTTCAGCTGCATTTAGCACAATGCTCACATTTCTGTCCTTGGCCCATATCTCTTGGGCATTACCAAGCTCTGATTTACACACCAGAGCTCTGGCAGTGAGCATCCAGCCCACAGGGAATACAGAGAACCGCAGGGAAACTGTCTGCAAGGGTCCTCTGTACAACCCACCACCCTAGCATGGGGCAGGGGATGGCGGGTCATGCCAGGACCATCAGCCATGTTTGTAAGTGCATTATTTCAGAGACTAGGAATGCACTATTTCAATCCTGTCAAATGTTTCCAAAAGGAGATATAGATTTATATATGGGAGGGGCATGTTACCATGGGAACTGTTCTGGAAAGGTCTCAGGTCACTGTGACCTTTCCTCCCCACAGCCTTAGACTTGAGAATTGGTATTCAGGAAGCATCAATTACAAACTACCCAGCCCTGGAGACTATGGCTGTGGCTGTGTCCTCACTCCTGCTGCTGGCACCCAGGGAGCTGCATTAATGATTTGCATTAGAGATTCTTCCAAGAGGGAAGCCTCAGAGGGAAGCCAAGCCCAGATGCAAAGGCGATTTGGAGATCCAGGGAAGGGGGGGAGTAAGAAGCCAATGCCAGGGACTCTTCTCTCACCTGGTTTGACTTTCCCAGGGCACTTGCCTGATACTCGGTTCCTGTTCACTTGCTTACCTGTTGTCACTTGTACCTCCTATTTACTGCCTGATTTCCAGCCTGGAACACAGCCTGGTAAGGGTTTACTGGGAGACTGGGCAAAGCAGTGGAAGTGGGGCATGTTCCAGTCAGCCTGTTCTCACCCGGCTCGCGGCAGTCCCTGACATTTTTGCCCCGTTCTCCCATCCCATGTAACCTCTGTGCCCCAATTGTTCCGTGGTGAACCATCTCTGGG